TACAGTATGTTCAGAAAAACTCAATACTTCCACATGGCTTGGCATACAGAAGAGTCAAGTCTTGAAAATATAAAATTATTTTTAAAAGTAGTTCAGGAGCTTCCAGGTATGAAGGCATATTTCTATAATATCAGCACTTTGGAAGCTGAGGCAGGAAAGATCACAAGTTCCAGGACAGCATTAGCAATTTAGCAAGGTCCTAAGCAACTTAGTGAGAGCCTGTCTCAAAATAAAAAAATAAAAATAAAAAGGGCTGTGATGTAGTTCAGTGGTAAATTACCTCTGGGTTCAAGCCCCAGTTTAAAAAAAAAAATGTACAGGAAAGGGCAAGGGCTAGGGTGGGAGACTGGTTTTTATATAAACCCTCCTCTATCATTCAGTTATTACTAAATGCATATGTTCTTGAAGTAAAAATCTAATGGAGAATAAGCTACAAGGTAATAATGAATCAAAAAATAGTCACCAATAATTGCTAAAAGCATTGACTTATAGGCTGATGAGAAGCATTAGAATGGCTGTAACATCCGAACCCCACTGACACTTAAATATACTTTTATTTTAAAATAGTCTTAGACTTACAAAAAAGTTGCAAAAATAATACAGGGGGTTCCCACATATCCCTCACCTGTTTTCCACTGTTGTTAACACCTTACATTATTATGGTACATTTGTTATAAGTAAGGAACCAATATTGGTAACCACTGATCACCTCATCAAGGAAGTGTTTGCCAGAATTCTCCAATGTAAAGTTATTTTCCCTCCTCCCATAGCAAAGCCACTAAGCAAAGCCCACACTCAAGGAGGTATGGGAGAAATTAAGTTCCATCTACTGGAAGGAGAATATCTACATAAACCATTTGGAATTTTTACGAGTAGAAGATTTATCTCTCAGATTTATTTACTTATTTGAACCACTTATTACTGATTCATAAGTATACACTTTGTACTTTTGGTACAATATTATGTTTACTTGGTTTCTCAAATTATCTCAGCTCTGATTATTGGAGCTACTTTAATGGCTCTTACTGTCCCTCTGACATGCTCCCAATTTTTTTTTTTAAAGCACCTTCTTACTTGCTCCAGGTTCATCTTATATATCTCCTCTTATGGTCCTAGAAGCAGTCATTTCTCCTAGTCCTGGTTCGTTTTATTGAAAATTTTGGTATGAGAGCACCAATCAGTTTTAACATCATAAAAATAGCAAAACATTCTACAACCCTTGATTTGATATGCCATATTTTATGCCTCTTTAATCTATTTAAGAAAACAATTTGAATCTAACTGTCTCAAGGGCTGGGGTTACAGCTCAGTGGTAGAGCTTGCCTAGCACGTGTGAGGCACTGAGTTTGGTCCTCAGTACCACATTAAAATAAATAAAATAAAGGTATTGTGTCCATCTACAATTAAAAAGTATATTTTAAGAAAACCTAATTAACAGTTTATAAGAAACACTGTGAAGACTTAATCCTGAGATGCCCACATAATCATATGTTCTGTCTTGAGATGAAGCCACAGATAGCAACTGAGAGTAGAGAGTTCTAAAACTGTTGAAACATCTGGATCCAGTCAACTATGAGGCCAATTCTCCCCCTATTCTTTTATGACTTGGTTATATGAACCAAATAAGCATTTTTATGTATTTATTTATGTATTTCTTTTTTTTGCTTATGCTGGGCTGAGTTGGCCTTCTGTTACTCAAAACCAGAGAACTAATAAATAAGTATAGGAAAGGGAACAAAAATAAACGCAACACAGTAAGACTAGTACATGGCTTGAAATTTAAGTAAAGCCAGCTTTTAGGTGAGATATTTAAAAGTCAGTTTATATGTATGTGCTTTTAACTTTAATAGTCTATATTAATAACATTTTGGTAGGTATAACTAATAGTTAATAGTTGATTAACTATTTTACTTTTTAACATCTTTCTCTTATTATTTAATTATACAATGATGAATTATCATAACGTTGGAAAATCAACAGATCCAACATTTTTATTTTTTTTTWWTTTTWWTTWTWTTTTTTTTTTAAGAGAGAGTGAGAGAGAATTTTTTTAATATTTATTTTTTAGTTCTCGGCAGACACAACATCTCTGTTGGTATGTGGTGCTGAGGATCGAACCCGGGCCGCACGCATGCCAGGCGAGCGCGCTACCGCTTGAGCCACATCCCCAGCCCCCAACATTTTTATAATATACTAGATCCTAAAATAAATAAGTTATTATTCACTCATGTAACCAAGCATAGTACAATCAGAAATAAATAGGTTATGAAGCCACATAGGATTGATTTTTTTTCCTTGGCTCTTTCCTTTATCTCTAGTCCTTTTAATTTTTAATAAAAACAATTATAGCACAGACATGATAAAAACTCAAAAACTTATACTGTAAAAAGCCTTTTCTCTTATCCTTGTCCTAGGATCAACCCCTGCCTCCTTTGGTAACAACTGTTATAATTTCTTGGGTATTCAACAACTGTTATAATTTCTTGGGTATTCTTCCACAGACTATTTATTCAAGCATCCTGAAGACTTGACCTTTGGACTTTAGATCACTAAAATTTCTAAAGTTATATAACTATACTAGAAGAACTAGCATCAGGAAAGTCAGATAAAAGTGGGTCTCAAGAGAAAGGATAAACTATAAGATACTCTTCCCAACTGTACCATCACTTTAAAACATATTAAGATTTTTTAAATTAAGATTAAAAAAACTTTTAAAAATAAAATAACATTTTTTAAAAGGTTATTTGAGGTTTTATAAAGAGGTTTGTATAAGCAACTACTCTGTTATTAATTCTGTTTATCTAGAATTCTCTTGGGATATTCTTGTTTATACTCTAGTGAATGACACTGGTGGATGAATGGTAGTCAACATCTCCCAGATATTTAATGAAGAAAAGCTAACTGTATCCCACTTCCTACATGCAGTTCAAGTACCCCTAAATCACCTAACAGAAAAATTTTTAAAGTGATTTGAATTTTATCCAATAAATGCCTGATTTACAAGGGGCAGGTAAGAATGTTATTCTGACAAGAGGTTAGGTACTTAAGACTAATGATGAAAAAAAATTCTCCTGATATAAGTAACATATTAAGGATAGAAATAATTATTCAGAGTATAATGTAACAAAGATTAGTACATTTATAGAACAGAAAACATTTCATTTTGGAGTTCAAACAAATATTTTCAGTCTTCGTTTTTGGATTCTCTGGGGTGGAGGAGATAAAATTCTTCTAAACTCCTAGAGCAAGGGCAAAACCACTGTAACATTTAAGTCCCATAAAGTGAATACAGGTTGAGAATTTCTAATAAAAAAATCTGAAATCCAAAATGCTCCATCCTATTTGAATGTTTAGTGTTTTCAGATTAGGGATGCTCAACCAGAAAAGTCTACACAAATATTCCAAAATCTAAAACCAGAAACAATTTACTGGTTCCAAGTATTTTGGATAAGGGATACTCAACCTGTAATACTAGTAATAGAAATGGAACATAAAGGCGATATGTTTCTAACAAGCATTAAAAGATGAAGTGAATTATATATTCTTTTGACTAATTTCTTAAATAGTTATGTGGGAAATAAGTTAGACCACATTTTAAATATAAAACTTGTAAATCATAAGGATTCTTTACAATGAATTTTATTACATATGAAATTTAATAGTTGAGGATAGGAAAACTATGATTCCCTATACAGATGCTTATTTAAATACAACTCATCTTGAATATATTAAATAGATAAGATCCTCTTGCTCTGCATGGTTTTTGTTGTTGTTAATCTTTCATATCAGAAAAGAAAAAAATCAAAGCATGGAACAGTTGATAGAATTAAAACTATCCCCCAAAACTCAATGGGTAAAAATAAATTGAAATTGGTCCCAAAACAGGTTTCTAGTTTTGAAAACAGATTTAATATTCAGTCTAAATATGAGGTCATTTAAATTTTAACTAATTTTAACTAAGAAATAGTGTTAGTGGCTTAAAAATAACCTAAAAAGAATTTCAACTATTTTAACAATCAATCAATTTTGTGTTTGCAGGTATAGTTACAAACTAAATTATTAATATGGTGAGAGAATTATTTAAATGTGATTTTCTGTTTTTATGGTAGTATGGAGGAGTGAACACAGGACCTTGTGTATGCTAAGCATGATACCACTGAGCTACAACCCTAGCCCCAGATACAGTTTTCTTAAGAGATGGATTAAATTTTCCTAACCTGGGCAAGCAAATGCTTGAAACAAAATAAAACAAAAAGGTCAGACAAAATATATACAGAATATTCTAAGTGAAATCAAGAACTATCTGATCATGAAAAAAAACAATGAAATCACTAACAATAAAGCATATATAACAGAAGAATGATGAAACTTGGAAATTATTGCTTTAAGAAACCAAAAGAACTGTTATATTTTATTAGTATCTTCCTCAACAGAAGAGGATATTTTATAACAGTATCATCTCTCAAATCTAAAAGGTTTGTAGAGGCAGCAATAGAATTTTAAAAGAAAGGGACCTATAACCCCAGGAAGGTTTGTAGACTATAGGCTGTATTACTCCTTAATGATGAAAGGAATGGGCATCTATAGAATCACAGCTTACCTCACTATTTCCATAATTCTCAATACCTGAGATATGGTGTCCCAGGATAAGATTTTTATGAAGATTAAAACATAGACACTTTTCCCTTGAATTTTGAGTTTGGTACACACATGGTAATATTTTGGCCCATGTGCACACACTTTCTCTCACCACACACACACACACACCCACACACACAAATTAGGATAATAAACCCAAATGTCATTATACTTCAGGCAAATAGTATTTTTATCCTATATTTTCTATCCTTATACTGCCAAAACCTGATGGGTTCAATCAAGACAAACCTATGAACTATCCTTTAAACAGCTATGTCTCAAAAAAACTTACTGCTAAATATTAAACTGTTATTCTTAAAATCAACAGTGTTTTCTAAAACATAAGATGGTTCCAAACTTACCTCAGTCTTTTTACTAATATGATCTGTAAATGAAAAATAAAAAGTGAAACTTCATTGAAATAAAATGTTTTAGCATATAAATAAAACTAAAAATTATAAAGGGTTATCTAGGACTCATATCAGACTTACTTTTCTAGATTTAAGATGTTAAAAGTCAGGATATAATTACTAATTAGTTCAGCTTAGGGACCAAGATCTTGTATCTTAAGTTAAATATCATCCATACATTAAATTTTAAAACAAGTGAGTCTCATAATTTAGTTATTTGGTTTCACAAGATTTCAGTGGAGAGAGAAAGCTGAGGGGACACAAATGATCAAAATCAATTTAGAGTACTGTTAACTATAAAAATGTTCAGATTATTTCCTTTGTTGAATGAAACAGAGTATGATAGTAATTTATATCCTTTAAAACTGTAAGCTATTTTATTTTAAAAATATACATCATGATGATTTGATAGTACTATGAATAAACCCCTAAAAACTGAGGTAAATTCACAGAATATAAAAATGAACCCATAAAAATATTTCTAGATGAAGTTAGTCACTGACTTAGAAACAACACAATATTTCAGGAAAGGAATTACTGAGAACAGGTAAGAAAAGGAAGACATAAAAGAATATCTATATAGATACAAGGTTGCATCTAAAGTACAAGCAGGSAGCAAGTATTCTTATTTAAATTGGAAAGGATCAGGATATCTACTAATAATACTTCTGTGTATAGCAGAAACCTTACATTCTCCAGGACTAAAAATAATTTAACAGCTTTCTTWTGACCAAGACTATGAAAGATGGTATAATTCTCTAAAACATCTTTTGATCAAAATAAAAGTCTATAGACATAGTAAATGCCAAAATCTTAAGGTTCACAATAAACTACCAAATCCTGGTAGGCCATGTGACCATTATTTTGGTATGTTCTACTTAACATACAATGTGATGCTAGAATCTGAGGAATAATCACAACTGTGATAATCATGACTTATAAAAATACTGTGTACCTTCCCTTTAACATATTGTTACTGATGGTTTTCTCGATGCAGCTAATAAACTTATATACTACTTAAGAAATGAAACATGTCAAATAAAGTAGGGGTTCTAAAAATAATTCTCTTCATACTTCTATTTTTAGTGAAATATGTTTCTTATATAAAATCTTTCTTATTAGAGATTTTATTTTACCATGCATGTGTGTTTTTTTAACCTCAAAGTAAAGCAAATTACTCAGGAGCAGACTATAGGAAAAACTCTGGAGCCTCAAAAGAAAGCAAAAAAATCCTCTAAATTTATTCCTAGTTAGTTCACAAAAACACTTTTGCAACAGTATTTAGATCTTTCATTTTTATTTTTTGAAATTACTGCTATAGAGACATTTATACTCATAGAATAATGTTAAAAATATTAAGGCTGAATTCTTATGAATAAAATAAACCATTCTTTAGCCGCTCATATGGTCAGCAACTATTCTATAACACAAGCACTGTTCAAATTTTCTGCAATGATGTTAATTTTCTATAGTTGGGAAAATACGGAAGCTACTAGTCACATTGAGCATTTGAAGTGTGAGTAATGCAATTCAGGAGCTATACTTTTAAACTAACGTATATTTAAAATGCCACCAATGAATAGTGCCTACCATATTGTATAGCGCAACGTAAGGTATTACCCATATTAGAAATGATGTGCTTTGTGGTCTGTCTTCAAAAGTTTAATGGAGGATATAACTCCTTCTGTCTTTGCTGTTTAATAATGAATCCGAATGATGTTATATAAACAGTTTTCTGGAAATAAGTTTCATTCTAAAATTTGTATTTTATTTTCTAAGGGGTAATTCCAGATAATGTGAAGCGGTTGATCAATAATGGTTGAGATGTTTGGTCATTTCAGTTTATGTATATGAACAGTAATATATTTTAAGGTCACTCAAATTGCAAATGCCAATTTTAATTTTTGTTAAGTTTTAGAAAAGTAACAAGTTCAAAATTTTAACAATTGATTTAAATTATCCTAATCCTCAAATAGTTTACTTATAAACAGATTGCTATGGTTTGTCCTCTTCAAAATGCATTTTGAACTTTTATTTTCATTGAAATAGAATTAAGAGGTGATTCAGCCATGAGGTCTCCACCCTCAAAAGAGGGACTAGTGCCATGTTAAAAGGTGTGTTTGACCCCCTCCTGCTCTCTTGTCCTCTCTGCCTTCTTCCACAAGACAATGCAGCATGAAGGTTCTTGCAAATGCTAGCACCCTGACACTGAACTTCCCTACCTCCAAACTGAATCAATAAATTTGTTTGTTATAAATTATCTAATCTCAGATGTTAACATATAAAAGCACAAAACAGACTAAGAAGCAGGTTTACATTTTAAATGACACATTAGAAAACAATTTTTATCAATTTTAAAAAATTTGTACTTACAACTTAAGTATAAAAAGATAATATGATTCTAGCATAACAAATACCGTACATACATTACCTTCAGATTGAAAATCTTTTAGTGATACTGTGAGAGGTTTGTCTTTTCCCTGATGGTTCTTTCTTTTATCCTTTTTATTCACAACTTTTGACTGAGTTGAAGAATTTTCAGCATTTTCATACTCCTGAAAAGAATTACCAATAATAATTAAGTTTAGTTTATAAATTATAAAATCAACTGACCAGTAAGAAATACATTTCTTAAAGTTTTATTTTAAAGATAAGAATCAGRGGGCTGGAGTTGTGGCTCAGTGTTATAGTGCTTGCCTGGCATGCATGAGGCCCTGGGTTCGATCCTCAGCACCACATTTATAAATCAATAAATAGGGGTACTGTGCCCATCTACAACTAAAAAATAAAAATAAATTTTAAAAAGAAGCAGATTTTAAAAGTCACAACTTGGTCAGTCAAATCATATAAATTTTATAAAGTTCCTATTTATATGCTCAACCTCTCACAACTTACATTAAAATAGRAACAAAAATATTTTATCTTTATCTATAACCTCTTTCCTTTCAGAACCAAATTTAAGACAGTAAGTGCATTCTCACACCACTGAAATCTGGCTTCTGTTGTTCTCTGACTCTAAAATTAAGGTCAACCTCAACTTAATCACTAATTCAGAAGGTATTTTTTCTTTCAATCATCTCTTGGTTTTCTCAATACATAAGTCATCTTTAGTAGCTTCTTTAGCCAACCTTCTTAAAAATATAACTGCCGTCTACCATTATCTCTTTCTTAACCTATTCTTCTTATGCCTTATATTCATTGCTCTTCAAAGTTTAAAGTTCCACTTTTATACTAATGATTTATATGTGTACATAGAGAAGTCAGCTGGAGTTTTTAATAAGCATCTCTACATTAAATGTGTTTATCTTCACATTCAACCAACCTGCTTTCCCCACTTCATCATTTTCTTATTAACTTGTTATGCCACTACCATCTATACAATTGTCTAAGCTAGGAAACTCATGGTATCCTCATCTATTTTTCTACACACTTTATATCCCAATTAGTTATTAGTTACTAAGTCTTGTTGAGTTTGTATATTAAAAATCTCTTAAATCTATTCTCTTTTCCTTGTAACTTCTGACATTTTCCCCTACTGTCTTTTGCTTAGACATTGCCATAGTCTTTTAATCCCTCTATCATCTTCTACACTGCTACATCATGAATTTCTAAAGTAAAAACTCAAAATCAATAACTTTCTGCCAAGAGATGTATAAAATCTGACCTTCTTGGGTAGTACACAAGATTCTTTGCATCCTATCCTTCTGGGCATTGCTGGAGAGCAATTCTAGCCTCCTAAATTATAATTTTCAAATAGGTTATGTTCTTCCACATATAAACTTCTTGTGTATTTGCCACACCTGCTCTGAGAATGCCTACTTTCCTCTTGCCTACCTTGTAAACATGTAAATACATCTATTAAGACTTTTCTTCAAGAATCCTTTCCAAAAATCCATCCTCATGAAAGGCACTAAAAAATCTTCTATTTTTCTGAATTCCCATCAAACAAAGAACATATATCTCTCAGTACTATACATTATAATTATATGCATGTCTTCTACTAATCTCAAAAGAAGTTGGGATTATGTCTTTCATCTTTGTATCATGTGCTTAGCACATTTTGGCTATTTAATAAGTATTTGGTGAATGAATGAGAAGAGAAGACATAATAAAGCATCTCAAACCTCAGTTATCTATTATAAAAACTTTCAGGCTAACATAAATTTTTGGAATAGTGCTACATCAATGTAATCATGTAAAAGTAGCCACTGCATAAAAAGAAATTTCTCCGTTCTCTCTTATTGTCTGATAAAAATCAATGCTTTTGGGCACTAAGCCTATGATTATGGCAATAAAACTGGCTGGGACCATATTTATCAACACCATTTACTCTATTCCTTTTCTAAGAATATAGCTAATTCTTTTACCTTTGAAATCTCAACATTTATCTAAGCAGCAGCAAATCATATGAAAATATCCTATTTGATAAAGTTTTATGTCCTAAGGAGCAATACAGGAAGATCTTTCCAGTGTAACCTGAAAGTACATTTAAATGATTAAATCACAGTAAAAGTGAGCTATATCTGTTTTTGTAGTTACCTGTTTGTTATGTGTGAACAGGTAACAATAAAGGTTATAGTCATTCTCGATTATTTGAAATAATAGGAATAGGAATATATAAAATGAAACTAACACCTACATTATACAAAGGGCACTTTTCTTTAATATTTATTTTTTAGTTGTAGTTGGACACAATATATTATTTTTATGTGGTGCTGAGGATCAAACCTAGGGCCTCGCGCATGCTAGGCGAGCRTTCTACCACTGAGCTACACCCCAGCCCCCAAAGGGCACTTTACTAAACTATGATTTTAATCTTTTCCACTAAACTATGATTAAGCAGAAAAATCACCTGCTGTGAATTTTAATTCCTCTCTTCCTTTCATCTTGGATAAAGATGTTAATGTATAGTATCATGGCCAAAAAGACCTAAACATGACAGGGCCCATTTATGATCAACCAATGAATAACCGCAAGTTAAATAACTTTAATGAACCATCAAGATCCCAATAAATGTCAAAGACTAGAATGTTAAATGATATGAAGACAATCAATCTCAATTTAAGTACAGAAACTGGAACCGATACTACTTTTTACTTAAATGTTTCTACAGTCATCAGGTATAAGATGCATTTCAGCGTACAATTTAATAAATAAACCTCAGTGATAAATGCTGAGTTTACAAAGCCAATATGTCAGAATGATGTCCCATTTACTTTAGTTAACAGTAGTGTATCTCTGGCAAAGTCTCTTAATAGATGACTAGAGTACTGTAGTTCTTTCATCTACTTAAACTTTTTAAATATTTTTTTGAGGGGATAGTGGAGCTGGGGATTGAATCTCTGTCACCATGCTACAACCCCAAGGGGCTCTCTAAATGTACCTACAGTCTATGTTCATTTAAAACTAAAATAAATTATCTGTTGTGAATTTCATTCCTTTTCTTCTCTTCACCTTGGTTGGAAGAACTCTTAAGCATTCTATATCATTAGAGGAAACTTAGTCAACATGTTTACATTCTCTCAAAACCTGAAGAAGAATTCTATTATTAAAATGAATAATATTTTTGCAATGATGAATATTCAGGACAATCTTAATCTAATTTTTTCTTTTTTTTTTTTTGCAATTCTGGGCATTAAACCCAGGGCTTTCACATGTGCTAGGGCCTCACACGTGCTAAGCAAGCACTCTATCACTGAGTTATATCCCCAACATAGAACTTTTATGTAAAATTCAGAAGGACAGTCCTAGCCTTCAACTACTTGAAACTTTTTAAATATCTCAATCAATAAGTAAACAAATACCTTTTTGTGCTCTTCATATTCTAATTTACTTAGCAACAATGCCTTCTCAAGATCTGCTTCAAACATTTCAGATGTCAGCTAAAAAAAAAAAAAGTTTCACAATAAAGAGATGATAGTATTATATTCTGTTAGTAAAAGAATCATAACATGACAATATGGACAAGAAAACAACTAGTGGTTCCATCTGCCACTAAACTTTTAATCCATATTTCTGACATTTAATTATGGAAAGGGTATTTATGATTATATTCCAATATGTCTTACATTCTGACTAATACTACTAACTAAAATAAGTTAGTAGGCAGGAGAACGTATTAAAAGATAGAAGTCTTATAAAACATCATTACTATTTTTCACATTAACTCACAGAATTTCAATATTAAAGTAGATGATTCTAAATGAATGATAAAAACTGAATAAAATGGAAATTTTAAATTAAAAAACATGGCTCTCCCCAGCATTTGATTATAATTAAGCAATTGAGAGCTTAAATTTACTTTGTTTTCCGAGTGCTACAGACAAAAYCCACAGCCTGTGTATTCTCTACCACTAAACTGTACACTCAGTATAAAAGTAAATAATACTGATTTAAACTTAAGTTGTTTTTTTTTTTAAAAAAAAAAAGTCACTGTAATCAGTCATTCTGATAAAAAGTGAATTTTAAATGAGAGTGATGTGGAAAAAAATTATAAATTTTGGGAGTTCTCAGAGATGCAAAATTTAAATTCCTACTCTACCCATGCTAGCTATAACTTTGGACAAGTTACAGAACTTTTGTGGATTCCATTTTCCTCACATATAAAGAGGAAATTGAAATATTATCCTTACAGTGTGGTTCTAAGGATTTAAAGTTGCAATACACATGGAGTACCTAGCATAGTATCTGCCTGGCATAAAAGCAGTACTTAGTATATTAGAATTCCCTTCCTACCTTAGAAGAATAAAAGATCTCCCATATTTTTGGACAGGCAGAATAAATATTGACAATGACCATACTACCAAAGGCACTTTACAGATTTAATGCAATTCCTATTAAAAGATCAGTGATGTTCTTCATGGGACTAGAAAAAGCAATCATGAAATTCATTTGGAAAAATAAAGAAGCCCAAAATAATCAAAGCAATCCTTAGTGAGAAAAGTGATGCAGGAAGCATCACAATATCAGACCTGAAATTATACTACAGAGCTATTCTAACAAAAATGGCATGGTATTGGCACCAAAACAGACATGAAGACCAGTGGTACAGAATAGAACACACAGAGACAAACCCACATAAACATAGTTATCTCATACTACACAAAGGCACTATAAACATACATTGGAGAAAAGAACTCTTTAATAAATGATGCTGAAAAAATTGGAAATCCATATGTAGCAAAACACAATTAAACCCCTATCACTCACCCTGCACAAAACTCAATTCAAAGTGGTCAAGGACTTAGGCATTAGACAAGAGACCTGTGCCTACTAGAAGAAAAAGTAGGCCCAACTCTCCATCGTCAGCTTAGGAAGTGAGTACCTCAACAAGACTCCTAAAGTGCAAGAAGTAAAATGAAGAATCAATAAATGGAATGGTATCAAACTATAATGCTTCTTTACAGCAAAAGAAACAACAATGTGAAGAGAGAGCCTAAAGAATGGGAGAAAATCTTTGCCGCCTGCACCACAGAGCTGCACAAAAAGCTCAAAAAGCTTAACACCAGGGGCTGGGGTTATAGCTCTGTGGTACAGCACTTGTCTAGCATGTGTGAGGCACTGGGTTCGATCCTCAGCACCACATAAAAAAAAATTTAATTAATTAATCAAATAAAGATAATGTGTCCATCTACAACTAAAAAGAAATTTTTTAAACAAAAAACTTTAATACACACACAAAAAAAACCCTATCAATACATGGACAAAGGAACTGAAAATGCACTTCACAGAATAAAAAATACAAATGGTCAACAAATATATGAAAAAATGTTCAACATCCCTAGCAATTAGAGAAATGCAAATTAAAACCACACTGAGATTTCATCTCACTCAAGTCAGAATTATCAAGAACACAAGTAACAAGATGGGGATATAGCTCAGTTGGTAGAGTGCTCGACTCACATGCACAAGGCCCTGGGTTCAATCCCTAGCAACACACTCACACAGAATACAAGTAACAATAAATATTGGCAAGAATGTGGGGGGAAAAGGTACACTCATACATTGCTAGTAGAACTGCAAATTTGTGCAACCACTCAACAGTATGGAGATTCCTCAGAAAACCTGTATTGGAACCACCATTTGACCCAATTATCCTACTCCTCGGTTTTTAATTAAGGACTTAAAATCAGCATACTACAGTGACACAGCCATGTCAATGTTTATAGAAGCTCAATTCACAACAGCTAAGCTATGGAACCAATATAGGTACCATTCAGTAGATGAATGGATAAAGAAAATGTGGCATATATACACAATGGAATATTACTCAGCCACAAAGAAGAATGGAATTATGGCATTTGCTGGTAAGTGGATGGAACTGAAGAATATCATGCTAAGTTATATAAGCCAATCCCCCCAAAATAAAAGCTAAATGTTCTGATATTTGGATGCTAACTCCCAAAAAGTTGGGGAAGGGAAGAATAGAAGTTCATTGGATTGAACAAAGAGGAATGAGGGCTGGGGATGTGGCTCAAGTGGTAGAAGAATAGAAGTTCATTGGATTAAACAAAGAGGAATGAGGGCTGGGGATGTGGCTCAAGTGGTAGCGCGCTCGCCTAGCATGCGTGAGGCAGTGAGTTCAATTCTCAGCACCACATAAAAAATGTAAAAATATTGTGTCCACCAAAAAAAAATAAAATAAAAAATAAATATTAAAAAAAACAAAGGGGAATGAAGGGGATGGAAGGGGGATGGGATTAGGAAAAACAGTACRATAAATTAGATATAACTTTCATATGTTCATGTATGAATACTCAACCAGTGTAATTCTACATCATGTACAACCACAAAAATGGGAAGTTATACTTCTTGTATGTACAGTATCAAAATACATTCTACTGTTACATATAACTAAACAGAACAAATTAAAAATAAAATAAGAGGCTGGGGCTGTTGCTCAGCAGTAGAGCATTTGCCTAGCACTGGGTTCAATAAAAATTATTGGTTCGATACTCAGCACCACATAAAAATGGATAAATAAAGGCACTGTGTTCATCTACAGCTAAAAAAAATTTTTTAAATAAAATATTAAGTCTGATTTTTCATTGTAGGCAAGCTGTTTTCTTCAGTGCATATTACTTATAGTAGTATTTCCTTATTTTTCATTCTTAAAATTTAAAAAAACTTGAAAGGACTTAAAGTTGGCTTTAGTTTTTTCAAGCTTAGATTTAAATCAAGCTTAAAGAAATTTTTGTCGGGCTGGGTTTGTGGCTCAGTGGTAGTGCGCTTGTCTGGCATGTGTAAGGCACGGGGGTTCGATCCTTAGCATCACATAAAAATAAATAAATAAAGGTATCATGTCTATCTACAATTTAAAAAAGAAGAAATTTTTGTCAACATTATCTTTAATACCTTTCTTCATTCTATTGGTTTTAGGAACACTAACTGTTCCTCTGATTTTATTTCAGTGTTCTCATCCATCATGTCAATTTTAATTGGCAAAATTTATCACAAATTTTCTTTCATACCACTCTCAATTTTCTTCTGGTATACTGTTTTTTAGTTCTTCTAATGAAGTTTTTAAAATCTTACATTACTTATTTCTTAAATTTTTAAATTCACCAATCTCCCTTTCAACTCCTGTTTCTCATCAACTCATTTCAGTCCATTATCTTATCTCTCCTTGTTATATAACTATCCCCTTGGCTTTTATAAAATGTGCTAGTCGATAGATTGTTATTAAAATTAATTTCTGTTCCCTACAGAAAATCCTTTCCAGACTATGTTTTCCCCTCTGGATGCTAAGTACAATGTTCTTTTCCTATTTTGTGGCAGAAACTTTTCTTTAGCCGACATGAGATTAACCAAGATCCAATATTGTTATTAAGGTAGAATGGATGCTTCTTTACTGACTAGTACTGGTTACTCCTTAATTCCTCATTCAGATTTTATGCTGAGGCTTAGTTATTACCAATCTAGTGATTTAGGAATAGATTTTGTTTTGGAATAATTTCCCTTTTGTATTTGAAATAAACTACCACATATCAGGCAAAGCTTTTTGTTAGATTCAGCTCTCTATACTTGAAATTTCTTATAGTGCTGTTTTCCTACTGTGTCAGGAAGAACACACCCCACATACTGTATACTTTTTGCCTAGTACAGGTACTTCCTGGTTCCTCCAAATGTAGCTACTTTTGAAATCTATGACTCCTCACAGTAAAATGGATTCCAAGTGGTATACTGTCTATTGGTTCCAGGCCCGCCCTATCTCTTCTTCACCTCTCAGTGTAATTACCCAAATTCTATGACCCTGRTTATTTTCCTCCAAGTGAGACTTCTAAATAAGGTACCAGGTCTTCCTACATAACCCATAAATAGTATACCCAGCAGAAATTCCTGGGCCTTGCATGCTATCCTTATATAGTGTCAGAGTCAAATCAATTTAATTACTTTTTAGAATTACCAGATTATTGTGATAGAGGAAGGAGAAGAAAGGTTTTCAGATATCTGTACTCAAGTTCCCATATTACATGGGATTAATTCTGGTGAATTTTGAGCTTTCCTTCWTTAGTTTTCTAGTAATCTTTAGGCCATTAGGAGAATTTCTCTCTGGTGAAGACACTGGTAGATTCTACTACTGTATAAAAAAGTAACTTATTACAACATTAACACTTTAAATAAGAATTAGTCACAATGAATGTGGTATAAGAGGAAAAAAAAGAAACCAACCCCTAGAAATAATTCCTATTAAAAGTACAATGACTTTTATTATCTGTTGTAAATGCAACAGATAACTACAACAGATAATACCAGTGAGTACAAGATGGTTTATCCAGTTTATCAATGTCTGAAGAAGTCAACAGCATTACTGCATGGCTCTATAGTAATAGCAATAACTAACTCTTATAATGATGAGCCTAAAGCAATTCAAAATCTTAAATAAAATGATATAATTAACATAGCTTATGATGAAAGCTTACTACAGAAGTGTCTACTTCTTTTAGAACTAATATCCAAAGATAGGAATAGCCACTCTAACAGACCAAACATCTGCTAGAACAATATCTATTCCCTATTGATCAAACAATAGATAAGCAAATAAACAAACCTTTCATTTCCTACACATATAGCATCTCCTAGAGTACATTCCAGGCTTAGTCTGTTATTTTCCTGCACATGACAAAAAAATTATTGGTCTTAATAAATTACTTTATGTGGTTGCTATTAGTGATATTTAATAATAATACAGAAGAACAAAATGTCATGTAAATAGGTCAAAGAAACAAATGTTATCAACAATTTTATATCAAGGTTAAAAAAGGAAGTTCCCCTCAAAGTCCTTCTTATCACACAAAGCTGTTACTAGGTATTTTTAGCAAGAGATCTCTGGCTCTTCAAATGACTTTTTAAAATTTAAAATAATTAAATCTTGTTCCTCTACCTCCCCTCTCTCTCCTTCATCAAAAAGCAGATGAGTTAAAAACAACAACCAAAAAAAAAAAAAAAAAAACATATACACAGTGCTAGGGATGTAGCTAGAGGTAGAGTATGTGTTTTAGCCTGCTCAAGGTCCCTAGCACCAAAAATGCCCCAAAACAATAAAAAAAAACACCTGATAGTACTGCTTTGAAGTGCCAAAACTAACATAAATAACAAATGGATCAATCTGCTTTTCTAGATTTTTAAAAATCTATTAAAAGWAGCAAACACATGTGAATTAATCTAATACAAACTGCTTCTTAGAACAATGGTGATAAAGATTCAAAGGCACTGCCATCTTAAAAATTCTCCAAATCACTGAAAAATAGAGCAAAATTATTTACTTAGCTGTACCTGTTCATCCCTTTGTCTCCATTCTTGCCAATTTTCTTCACGTGAATCCTTCTGTACTGTGTTTGACAGTGAAAGCTCATGTTGCGTGTTACAAATGGCATGGGAGGATTTCTGAGGAATTTTCTTAAAAGCAAGATTCCTGAGCTATAAAACAAACACAAAATATCTTATATCCTGATTAATGATTTTTTTTTAATTTAAAAAGATTTTTTTTTTACTTCTCTACTCATTGTGGTAACTCACAAAACAAAAATAATTTGTGTGTTTAATTAAAAATTGTTTTAATTTAATTTTTTGAGAYAGTCTTGCCCAAGCTGGCCTTGAATTCCTGGGTTCAAGTGATCTTCCTGCCTCAGACTCCTGAGCATCTGGGACCATAGGTATGGGTCAGCATGACTGACTAATTTAAGGTGTTTTACTTTTTTATTTTTCTTGCAGTGCTGGGGATTGAACCCAGGGCCTAGCACATGCTAGACAAGGTCTGTACCACTAAACTACACCCCCATTCATTATCTGTGTTTTTTTAATAATCTTTGTAAATTCAAATGTAATTCAAATCTTTGTTATTTCAAATGTTGGTAGTTACAGATAAAATGACTAAGTGAAAATAGATTTATTCTATATTATCACAGTTTTAATGATTCTTCTTTACTGAAGAGAAGTATACTGGGTAGAAAACAGTAAAATAATCATGCTTTGAAAATGCARAACAATACAGTTCAAAATACAAATTTAAAATTTAAATAAATGGCCTTTTGAATTGCATATGCAAGATTCTAGGGACAGGAAAAAAAGGCATTTAAAAAATGTTCACTACATTTGACTTCAAGTACTCATAAATTTACATCCATCAATTCAAGTAATATTGAGTACCCATGGATCAGGTACTATGAATACCCAGGTAAACGAGACAGTAGCTGCCCTTATGATGCTGTCTCTAAGAAAACAACTGTTACCTCATTTGCTTCATTCTGTTGCTGTTCTTTCTTTTTTCTTCTTTTCTCTCTCTTTTTCTCATTTGTAGTTGATTTGCTTCCCAAAGTTTGAGACTTTCCAGTATTCCGACCTTTGCCTTTTCCAGCCTCAGAATCAGAACCACTGCCACTATCCACTTGTAACAGCGCAAAACGAGAGGCAGTAGTGGGAACAGAACTAAGTACTGCTGAGGCCATGATAAAGATTTTTCTCTTAAAATACTTCTATCGAGAATAATTCCTGTAGGAAGAGAAAAGCATAAAATATATGTACACACATTTTTCCTGATGTCATAGTAATATTTGGATTTAAACCCACAGTCCCACTGGCAATAACATACTTTTTAAAAAATATCTTTTTTTTTTTTTTATGTGGTGCTGAGGATTGAACCCAGTACCGTATAAGTACGAGGCAAGTGCTCTGCCACTGAGCTATAACCCCAGTCCACACACTTTTTAACTTAAGTTAATAATATAAAACTGTACAAAAGAAAAATGATATATTGATATTTCCCAGATAACCATTGTAATATGTGTCCATTTTTCCATCTAGGAATTTTAAAAAATAATTTTTCATCCCATTTAAATATTGATGTAATATATACACTTTAGTGAAAAACATTCTAAATCAACATGGTTTATAATGGAAAAGGAGAAATATAATTTTATACCGTACACAAAGATCATTAGTCCAGCTACATGTTTACCCTCAACTTTCAAGTAAATTTAAAAAGGCATAAAGAAGAACATTAATATGTTGAAAATACTTAAATTCAAAACATTTGATTCAAGAGACAATGGCTTAGAATTGAAAGCAAAAAGAGCTTCAATTCCCTCTACAACAAAAATTTCAAAATTGGCTTTCACATTAGCTTTTAGTTCACCAATCTGTGTGCACCCTACTAATCCAAGCAAAGGTAGGTGTAGTTTTATTTAGTGTTGTTAGCATTTCAAGAAACTTTTATTTAGACTTGGAAGGAATAAAGGCCCGCTAGTAAATTTCTAAGACAAATTACTTAGTTTTATAAATATAGTAAATGCAATTTATATTGATTAAGTGACTTGCCTAAGATCATTCTAAAACTTAGTGGGAAAGTCAGGACCAGAACCTTGATTTGCTGAAGCTTACCTTTTCCTTCTTTCTCTCTCCCCCCCTCAACTACCCAGCCCCAGCTACCCCACCACTTTTTTGAGGTGCTTGGATTTGAACCCATGCCAAGCATATGCTCTTCCACTATACAGTCCCAGCATAGATTTTCTTAGTAGATTATGCAACTCAAAAATTTGTTTTTATTTTAAAATAGGTATACAAAAATTTAAGTATTCAGTCTTTTAAAACATGAATGCTCAAAGTACCAAGCAACTTAATGTCAATCAACCCCTATGCCTCTCCCTAATAGCATTTTTCTACTGCCACCATCAAAATATAACTACCATTTTGATTTTTGTTTATTTATTTGCTTTCCTTATACTTGTATCATATCTGGCTTGAGTCACAGTGTTCATATCTGAACTAGCTGCTGTCATTCCACTTTGTTACACATCTATTTCTTATTACAAGTCACTAGTCTACTGTTCAATATGGGAGAGGATTATGCTGAGGTGACTATTAGGAGGTAAGAATCACTGATGTCCATTTTGAAAGCTAACCACACACTCTAATTTGTATGTTTTCAGGAGAGAACAAAAATAAGCATGTATTATTAAATCTTTCATCTTTCCCAGAAAAATATTTGGAAATCTTTAAATTTTCTTCAATATAGTAAAGAAAATCTTGAGAGCTGATATTTGAAGATGTGCCATAGCAGTCATTAAATCAAATATTTTTATTCTAATGCCATATAAAGACCCACACTGTTCCTGTATCCAGAAATATGTAAGTCAAGAGAAAACACCACAATATACAGAGATGACACCACACTGATATATGACATATCTGTAGGAAAGGCTTAAACCTTTCCTACAAGTATGAGATAAGGTCTTCATAAATTATTACAAGGGAGAAAATATTACAAAATTAAAAAGAAATTCAAGACTCAAAAACACTGTGAAAAAATAATTCTGCTTCAACTTCAACATGTCTTATTAAAATTATCCTACATAAAGTTTTAGTTGCTTTTAGCACTCTAGGTACATACAATAAACCCACCCAACTGTTCAACTACCACTAGATTTAATTTTAACAGGGCTAAAAATTGCAAGAGGCAGCTCTATTAGTGCTTACAAATATTCAGAATTATATATCACTTTCCTGTTAAATGCAGGAATGAACACATGACTTACTTTGGCCTACGAAATATAAGCTTTAAAAAGCTTTAAGTTGGTGGTTCACGGTGTTCYCTTTTCCCTGCTTCTGTGATTGTGAAAGCATATATTGAGATGGAGTCACCAATGGCCAGATGTGATAGAGTCAAACTACAATGAACAAAGGCACCCTAACTAACTAGTAATGGACAGTAGCTTGAGAAAGAAAGCAAGTTTTCTGCCAAGATGCTCAGATTTTCAGGTTGTCACTGCAGTATAACCTAGTTTTAGTATAATTTAATTTTTTTTCCATTCAAGAAACTATATCAAAATTGTGAATTTTGTATTTGGGTTTCTCTGCATGAGTTAAATGTTCATAAATGTCTACTCTAAGACAATTATCCAAAGCTCACAGAAATCTTCCTTCTGTGATATAAGGCAGTTTCCTTAACCAGTATATTCTCAGTTTCCTTCAGACCTTCAGGCAGCCAAGGAAAACCCTGGAAAGACATAGCCTCTGCGCTAGTCACCTTCTGATGCAAAGAGTCTCACCTGGTAGTTGCCAGTAGGTAGCTCTTGCTCTACAGTTGTGTTAATTGTCACAAGGGAAATGCTCCAAACCCTATCTACTTAATCAGGTAACTGCAGAATGCACTTCTGCTTCATGGTAGCCAAGGCCTATTGGAGAGTTTATGTTCCAGGTGCTCAAACATCAAGGACATGGTTACAAGGAATAGAAGGAAGGAACAGGGGAGCCAAAAATCTCCTAGTGAGCAAACCTGGGTCCTAATTCTCTATGTTGATATCTTCCCCATTTAGTAGTTGCAAGGTGACTGCTCAAACAATGCATATACTTTCTGACCATTAGTTTGTCATTATTTTAGAAAATCCAATTGAACTTGAAATCTTCTCATTTTATCACAAGAAACTTTAAGTTATGTTTTTAYAAAACACCTTTTAGATTCTTTAAAAACAATTTCAACTCTTATAAATCACTGAATTATTAAGGCAACAAAAAGTTTGTTTTTTATTATCTACTCAAAACTTTAATGGAGACTCAGAAGAAATCATAATTTAAAAGTCTAAAATCATGAACTGTATATTTTATTTCATGAATAAAMTAAAATTTAAGATTTTATATTTACAGAAGCAATCAGCATTGTCTCATTAGAAATCTGGAAAAGATTTTTAATTTTTAAAAATATAACTAAGCATGTATGATTGTTATTGCAAAAAGGGTTTTGAAACTTAAACGAACATCTACCCCATCCAGAAACCAAGACTTTAATCTTTTTGAAAAGTTCATAGGCATTAGCATTGAATAATAGTTTAGCAGCCAGGCACTACCTAAAATCAAAAGTCCTAAAGAGGATACCTAAGGTACCTAAGATGACACCTAAGCAAAACATCAATTTACCTGAAATCCAAGAATCACAGGACAATCTTAAACAATGGCACACAGTATATAAATAAAATATTTCCCAAATGAGTGAAAAGAAATAAAAGAAAAACAAAGCAAAAAGAAGGCATTAGAAAAAAACTGTTACCTGAGGAAAAAACAAATGATAAACACTTGAAAGGCAAAATTATTTTTTCTGGGAAATATATACCAGGCTCAACAACCCAAGTGTTAAAAACACATTAGCTGGTAAAGGGTAATATGTAAAAGGGGAAATGTGCAGTTAAAGGGATAGGAATGATATAACTAGAAAGGCTCAAACTTGTGCTTCATGCTCTAGTTTAAAAGATAAATAGACAACTCATCTTCTCTCTCAAAGCCATGAAAAAAATCACCATGTCAAAAGCCATCCTAATCAGTACTTCAGAAGTTGTAGAGAGGGAAAGGTAAATTTTATATAAAATAAATATAACTTAAATATACAAATAAATTCCCATTTCTAAATGAGTGTATTATCAATACACATACCAAAAAGAACAAAGAAATGCATGAGCTTACTCATTAGGCTTCCTTTCCTTTCTATAGTTTTCACTATTTCTCCAAAAAGTTCAACAATGATCATATTACTTCTGTAAGAAAAAAACAAAACAAAAAAAAAAAAGAAAGAAAGAAAGAAAAAGAAAATCCTCTCATCTCTGTAAGGGAAAATTATCATGTACATCCAAATTGAAAAAGATAAACATAGTGTAATAAATGCAATATTGATTTTCTTGCCTTGTGTAAAACTTAGAAAGGGCAACTATAGGTCAGAATTGACAATGAGATGCCTTCAGTTCTTTTTTTTTTTTTTTTTTAAGAGAGTGAGAGAGGGGAGAGAGAGGGAGAGAGAGAGAGAGATAGAATTTTTAATATTTATTTTTCAGTTCTCGGCGGACACAACATCTTTGTTGGTATGTGGTGCTGAGGATCGAACCCGGGTCGCACGCATACCAGGCGAGCGCGCTACCACTTGAGCCACATCCCCAGCCCAGAAATGCCTTCAGTTCTTTATGTTAATAATGCAAAAATGATAGAGATCAACTGTCAAAGACAAATTATGCCCAGTGGCTCAAGAGGCTGAGAYAGGAGGATTGTGAGTTCAAAAACCAGCCTCAGGAAAAGCAAGTTGCTTAGCAACTTAGTGAGACCTTGTCTTTAAATAAAATACAAAATAGGGCTGGGGATGTGGCTCAGTGTTCAAGTGCCCCTGAGTTCAATTCCTGGTACCCTGTAACCCCACAAAAAAAAAAAAAAAAGATTAATTATGTTACATACTTTAAGAGAATATTATCTTCATTAACAAATTTTTAAGATTTTAAAAAGAGCTGTCATATAATTTAGGAATTCTTTTGTTATTTTTTTTAAATACCTAAGGATCATGAAGATATCAGGCTTTTTAAAGGTACCATATTTCAGGGCTTGACTAGGGCTAACATTCTTCAGTCTATCTTAAAGTGCATCTCCACCTCTAGTTATATCTAAAAGATATTAGGATAGATTCAAATATAGCTCTTATCCCTCCTCTATTTTCTTTCTCTTTTCAACACACTTAGTCTTTAAAATTCAGATACTTAGGGGCTGGAGTTGTAGCTCAGTGGTATAGCACTTGCCTAGCATGTGTGGGGCACTGGGTTCGATCATCAGTACCACATAAAATAAAATAAATGTATAGTGTCCATGCACAACTAAAAAAAAACATTTAAAAAATTCAGATACTTACATGCTTATTTACATATTCCTATTTAATGGGACATATATTGCAAATTTTTAGCAGATCTCCCCTAAGCCACTATGTTGGTCTACAAATATGACACCTAATATATATTAAATAGATATTTACATATTACTAAAAATATTATAAAATCGGGTTTTTGGTCAAGATATTTAATGATTATTTTGTATTTTCCCCTTGTTCCCTTTGAGTCTCATTTTAAAATTAATTTCAGGGCTGGGGATGCAGCTGAGTTGCAAAGCACTTCCCTAATATACACAAAGCCTGTCTGATCCTCAGCACTACAAAAACTAAAAACCAAAAAATAAATTTTTCCTCTAAAATTACAAAAAWTTTTTTTCAAGGCTAATGTAAGAAATTGAAGGAAGACAAAAGACATTCACAAATAATTTTAAAAACAGAAATGTTTCGGGTAAAAACTCAAAAGAAATAAATTCATAATTTTAAATATGCATCCATCATATATAAATGTATCTTATTATTTTATTATTGCCTATAATTTAATTATAAGTAATAAAAACTATTAATTTCTACAAAAGTGATTTCAATAATGTCAAAAGTATAGCTAAGTCTCCATTTTGTATTCAGGATCCTAAAACTATTTGAATTACTAAACTATTTGACTTACTAAATATTGTGGCATATGTTAGGGCTTTCTATAGCAATTCTCCTTTTTTTTTTATAGGTACTCCAGGAAAACCAACTATTTAGAATTTCCTAAGGACAAGTTTACTTATTCCTGTCTATACACTATTTTCTTTACCTAAATGCCCTCCATCTCTTCCACTTAAAAAGTTTCTAGGGCTGGGGAAGAAGCTCAGTGGTACAGAATTTGCCTAACATGTTCATAGCCCTGAGTTCAATCCCTAGTGCCACAAAAACAAACAAAAAACATTTCTATTCATTCCTCAAAATCTGCTCAGTTGCTAACATCTCTATGAAGCACTGTCTAACCTGCCCTTCAAGTTAATAATTCCCTCTTCTAGAATATTTCCATACACTACACTTATTTGGACTCCTATAAAATTATCTACTGTGCCTACCCCCTTATGGTCCTGATATCAACATTCTGAACAAGAGTTTCTTCTTCCTATTCCTAACAATATATCACAGAACCTAGCACATAGAAGATAAATTTGTTGAACTTAGTGGTTTTGCAAGTTTATATTCCCTAAGAACAATTACTTATGAGTGGTTTTGCAAGTTTATATTCCCTAAGAACAATTACCTATGCAAAGCATACTACAGATCATCCTCTATTCACACAATACCAGTGTAAATTAACAATGATTATTAGCAGTTCAAAGTGTTTCATTAGGATAAATGCCTTTCTGCCAATTAATCGTCACAACTAATTTTGTTTAGAAAACATATTTGTATAGGATGCATATTTGGTATTAAAGTATTTCGTTAAAAGAATAAGGACTCATCACATACTTAAGTAAACTGTTTTCTAAAAATGAACACCCTAAACTACAAGCAGCAGGATTTCTAAATAGCTGGTTTTCTCATGCTTTATAGAAGTTTGGAGGACCACTGCCATTATGACATCATCCCTGTAGACTATGACCTCACAAAAGATCTCCCAGTCCAGGTTATCACAATTAAGGCATTTCAAAACTGATTTTATTTTTCAGAAAAATCTTTAGAAGATGAAAGACACTCATCTTCTACTAGCACTATCAACCAGTTAGCCTGATCAAAAACAGAGATATAATGTAGATGCAAATTAGTTTGGCCTTTTTTAAATGCAACTTAAATTTAAAAACAGACAGGCTTGGGGTGTAGTTCAGTAGCAGAGTGCTTGTCTAGCAYATTCAGGCCCTAAGTGTGATTCTTAGCAACAATAAATAAGTAAATAAAGCACAAAATGAGATGACGCTCAGTATCATTGATTTAACACCTRGTGAACTATGTTATTACATGTTCTATTCCTCAATTAACACAAACAGTAGCTTTCACTTTGGGTTCTTAAAAACTAAGGTTCACATCCAAGTCTCAATTGCATATTAAAACTCTGTTCATAACACACTTACTGCAAACAATGTAAACCCTTGAGAGTATGCCTCAAACTCCACATTTTTCCTCATAGTTAAGTATGGCCTCCACTTTCCAACATGAGCTCCTAATTTCTGAGCACTGAGAAATCTAGCAATAAGTACAAGGGGGTACTGAGTGAAGGCCCAAGGGATTCTCCCATGAATAAAATATATGTACTTTCATTTGCCCACAATGTTCTTTTCATCAATTTCTAGGTTTTTGTTCTTACTCTGTAGAGTTGAAGCCATGGGATGGGAATCTTACAGATAAGTTTATTGTGACCATTTATGAAAATTAATATCTCATTAAATAGAACTTGATACTACCAACCTGGTACAAAATTGTTGAGGAAAAAGTTAGATTTCTATAAAGATTTTAATATATATATTCATGTATATAAATTAGTTGTAGTTGGACACAATACTTTTATTTCTTTATTATGTGGTGCTGAGTTTTAAACCCAGGGCCTCGCATGTGCTAGGCCAGCGCTCTACAGCTGAGGCACAACACCAGCCATCTATATTTTTAATACAGTATTCTAAGTTACCATAACGTTTCTCAAATATTTTTATGGCTACAAGCCAAATTTATTAAACTGATGATTCTGGTTGCAATCACCAGCACATTGATTAAATAAACAGGCAATGCTACATGTTGTAGGAAAAACGTCCCTAGCTTTTTTTGTATAAGAAAGTCATTTTCATTAGTCCTTCTAATGAAGGCATTAGTTCCTCTTCAATTGAAAAGTGAGGTTAAAGAATGGGAAAAGGGGATGAAGAATAAAGGCATTTAATGTAATTCACTATTTTTGTCATTGCTGTTCAATATTTTCTTAAATATTTTAACTTGTAGGTAAACACAATACCTTTATTTATTTTTTTATGTGGTGCTGAGGATCGAATCTGGTGCAAAGAAAGCGCTCCACCACTGAGCTACAGCCCCAGCCCATACTGCTCAATTTTCAACACCCTAAATGCTGAAATCCACAAAAATTTTGGAAGGCAATTTCAAAAAAATAACGGAAAAAATTAAATTCTGCTAATTTACTTTTCAATAGCTGGCGGGAAGGAGRAGGAGCACTATGTTCAAAAAGTAATTCACTATACCTCATTCATGAATGAAAGCCAATTTCACCCACAGGCTGTTAACCGATGCTCCAAAACTTACTCGCAAAGTGCAGAGAAAGAACTGGGGCTAGGCGAGACCTAACTCGGGCAAAGACGCGGCTCCAAAACCTGAAAGGGAGAAAACAACGAGTCAGGTCGTGGCTCCAGAAATTTCTGAGCGCTTGGCTCTCGAGGAGGGAGGGCGGCTGCGGGCGACGGGGAGGGGGCGGTGGCACCTGTCACTTGACGGTCCCCAAGGGTTCCTGGAGGCACAACCACTGTCCCAGCGTTGGGGCCTGGGGTCGGGCGCAGGTTCCTTCCCGCCGCCCCCGARCCCTGCGTCAAGCTTCGGGCCGCGGCCCTTCCCGGGAAGCGGCCCTCCCGCGCCCTCTGCCCAGCGCCTCTACGCAGTGGGGCCCACTGCTCCAGGCCAAGTCCCCACCGTGGGTGCGGGAGAGAAAAGCGGTCAGCCCGTCACAACCGCCGCAGGGGCTCCGGAGAGGACCCTCGCGAGGCGGGCCCGCCTCCGCGTACTCACCGGGCCTCCCGGCCGCCGACTCGGCCCTCCTCTCCCTCCTTCTCCCCAGTCGCCGCCACAGCTCCCGGGCGGCCGCACTGGGCGTTGGGACCCGGCTGGGTCAAGTGTCGGGAGGGGCGGGGGTGGGCTCGTGCCTGGGAGGGGTCGCGCGTCGACCCGCGGGCTGGCGGGACGCTGGGCACTAACGGGTCCCGGGGCGCCGGGGCCGGCTGGGCGGACCGCGGCGGTGAGCGCGGCTGCAGGCTGCGGTGAGGGGCGGGGAGAGCGCGGCTGTGAGCGAGCGAGCAAGCAAGCGAAGGGCGGGAGGGGAGCCGGGTGGTGGGGGCGGCGTGAGAGCGCGGGCCGGGGGCGGGGCCTGGCGCGCCTGCCGCCTAGCGCTGGGGTTTGTTTATTTTCACGGTGGGTCGCGGCGCTAACGCTGGATAGAGGTTCACCAGTGACGTGAGCGCCCCGAGTTGGGGGAGAGGACCAGAACCACCTGCTGGAGAAGGGGAGCTACGGGGGCCGGGCAGGGTCCAAACGTCTCACGTAGGCGGCGCCGCCGCGGTCTTCGGGGTCACTGGGAAGAGAAGCGCTCCCACAAAGTGGGTGGAAGGAGGAAGGCCTCCCCGGAGGATTGGCTCCAGCCCACTCCCCCGCAGCCCCGCGGGATCACCTGCCTTATGGAGGGCTCTTAGGGACCCCGGTGGAAAAAGGATGTGGGATCTGGTGGCTTTGGTTACCAGTGCCTCCGGGATGACCTCCTGTTAGTGAAGTAGGAATGGTGCTGCAAGTCCAGATTCAAATAGCAACACTGCATCTGTAAGGCAAATAACGTTGCTCGTTTTTCTGTAGAGTTACACAGCACTTTCATGTTGTTTCTCTAGATAGTCTTCAGGTAGTAGTGGTCTAATTTTACAAGCAAACTCAAGTGACAGACCCAGAGCTTCACAGCTAAATGACAGGGTTGGAACCCAGCTGTACTCACTTCCCATTCTGATTCCACTGCATGACATTATTTAAACAACTCCCCACACACAGGCAAGCCTTAGATGCTGCGGGGCTACACAGGGGAGCTAAAGATGTTCTTGCCCTCTAAGAGCAAGGACTAAAACAAAGATAAAAAAAAAAAGTTATAATAAAAGACAAACTATGATAGGGGTCATGTGAAAAAAACAAGTAATACTGCATAGGATCAAAGAACTCATACACTATCTGGGGGACCAGGAAAGAAAGGCAGCATGAAGGAGKTATTTCGAATCCACTTTGAAGGAGGTGGAGAAGAGTTTACAGCATGAACATGAGAACATCTATGGAGGTCAAAGAAAGTTGTGTTCCAAAAAGAGCAAAGACTCGGGGTATGTAAAAAAAAGTGACAAAGMACGGGGCTGCAGATGAGTAGTGGGTAAATTTGTATTTAATTCAGTATTTTGAGTTTTCATGGCTTAAGAGGTTGGGGGAAGAAAAGGAAGGCGTTTTCTTTATTGGATTTAAAAGGGCATGGTTGAGAGATGAAGGCAGACTGATTAACTAGAGGTAGCAAGAGAAATCAGAGGTTTGAGTTTGCAGATAATTGTAAGAGACAGAAAAAGGTATAACTGTAAGAGAAAAGGTACAACTGGAAAAGAAAGGAGCAAGAGCTGCTTTTTGAGAAAAAGACAATCACTTCAGATTTGGATATTTTAAGGGTTTGAACTGTTTTCAAGGCARCCACATAGATACAGATACTATGAAGTTAGAAATAAAGGTTTTGCAATATGGGGAAAAATACTAAACTAGAGAATAGATTAGAAAGTAATAGGCCTAGCAGTGATATCACTGAGAGAAAAAGGCAGACTCTTGGCAAAAATCTTCCTTAGACTATTGYTACTCAAAGTGTAAGCAATAGCCCGTCATCATTGGCATCATTAAGGTGTTCATTAGAAACAGAATCTCAGGCCTCAACTCAGACCTGCTCAATTTGCATCTTCAATTTAACAAGAACCCCAAGAGATTTGTGCCACATCAAAGTTTGAAAAGCTCTGATCTAGATGAGAGAAGCCAACAGAGAAGGGGAAGGAGGAAGTGGGAGGAGAACCAGGGTAATGCAGAACCATCAAAGCAGGGTAAATTGGAGTTTCACAAAAAGAAGGGCAGGAAAGAGTGTTGATGAACAATATCCAAAACCACTACAGTTAGAAAGCACAAGAAAAGAAGGCATGTGTGCATTTTGTGATTAGGTGGTATGGTCTTCAAATTGCTAATTGAAGGCCTGGAAACTTCAACTTTCTGATCAGGGATCTCTAGGGGCACAGTTTCCCCCAGTACCCACATATGTGGATTATATTGAAGTTACTGACTAGATTAGATGATGGGAGAAATTCTCTTTTAATTGCTTCTATTTTCTCAGTGAGATAAGGAGCAAGGTCAYTTTGGCAGATGGCTGGTTGTTAATCACAATTTATTTTCCCCTTCTTGGTGAATACAGACTACTTTTCTTAGCCTCTCTTTTAGCTAGTATGGTTGGATATTAAGTAATTGCAGGTAGAATGTGAGTCAGGTCAGAGCCTTTACATTTGCCTCCAGGTGTTTTCCTTTCACCAGCTGGACCCTAGACTTGGTGCCTCTGCTTTGATTGTGCAGATGACTACAAACCCCTGAAGCTGGCAGAACCACAAGAAGGTGCCCAGTGAAAGGAGAGTTGTCTACTGACCAGAATACTCAATTATGTGAGAAATACATAAATATCTATTGAGTTGGAGCCATAACACTCTGAGGTCCATTTGTTGTAGCAGTTTAGTTCATTCTAGCTAACTTAGTCAATAGAAAGAAATGTGAGAGAAGTAAAATAGGAATCCATGAGTATAGGAGAGTGAACTGATTAGGAAACATACTAAGGTATCCAGGCACTACTAAGGGCCCCCTTCAGTGAGTGGTCATAAATTTATAGTGAGACTAGTGAACTGGTTATGCATTTCTCTCCAGCCATGTTTATTTACACATGTGAGGGTACTACTAGACCATAACCAGGGCTGAGATTTGATCAGGGAAATGTAATGGGGAGAGAAGGGCAAATGTAGTGGACAGTAAAAGCAAAAGAGGCATTGTAATTTCAGGTGTGGTAAGAAGATTGATGGAAATGGGTTACAGAGAAAAGATGGTAGGATATCTAGATTGGTGTTTTTGATCAGGTTGAACTTTAGGTCCTAGAGACCAGCTGGAGAGTGGGAGGCTTGAAATTTAAATTAGAAGAAGGGCTGTAGTTATCAGTAAAATCTGGGTTTAGGGTATGATCAAAAGAATTAGTAACTAAGTGCTATGGTTTGGATCTTCAGTGTCTCCCAAAGGCCCACGTGTTAAAGGCTTGGTACCCAGCATGCACTATTAGGAAGTCTTTAAGTCATTGCAGTGTGCTCATGAAAGGAATAGTGGAACCCCAGCCCCCTCCTCAAGTTCTCTTTTACTTCCTGGCTATGAGGTAGAATGATTTTGGGTTTTGTTCCCCAGCATGATGTGCTGCCTGACTACAGGTCCAAAAGCAGTGGTGCCAGTCATGGACTAGAACCTCCAAAACTGTGAGCCAAAACAGTTGATTTCTTTATACGTTGATTATCTCAGTATCATTTATGTATCATTTATATACAGTCATGCACCAGGTAACATGTTGGTCTACAATGGACCACACATGGGGCAGTGGTCCCATAAGATTATATTGCCTATAGATATCATAGCTGTCTTAGTTTGTGTAATTATACTTTATGACATTTGCACAATGGCTAAGCTACCTAATGATGCATTTCTCAGAACATACCCCTATCATTAAGCAACACATGGCCATGTACACCCCCCAACACACACACATGTACACACACATCTCACAAAGAATTGCCACAAGAGTACTTACTAGTCTTGGAGAGAATGATAGTGATCCTGGTACTAAACTCTTCAGTGAGTAGTTGAATTATTTCAATTAGGGTGTTGAAGGTTATCAGTGGTTCAATATGATAAACTCTTGCAGATATTATATTTCATTTAAACAGGTATTCATAAGTTTTAGGTTGCTAATGTAAGATTTGTAATTGCTTCTCTGACCTCTCAAATTACAGATGGTAACTGCTTTCCTTTACAGGAGAATTCCCATCTGTCTGTGATATAAATCCAACGCATGCCAAATTTCCTAGTCTGAATGATTGTGCTTTAAAATTTGTCACAGATCACTCTATTTCAGATACATAACTTCACAGTGATGCTTTGCCACATCGACTGATGCCCTGAAAATGTTCAAAATCTGATGTTTATAGTTTAAGATAATAATAAATAGATGTTGGTTAAGACTGGACAAATTGAAATAAATAAGGTCACCTGTAACAGTGAATATGATGTACCATGTTACATAGCATGAAGGCTCTGGAGTGGGCTGCCAGGGATTGAATCACAGCACTCAACTCAGTTATTATGAGGATAACACTTGTACTAGATAAAATATATATAAACATTTTAAGGACTGTGTAGCATACATAAGCATTAGGTTAAAGTTAGGTTAGTTATTTACTATTGTTCTTATATTTAATTCTTAAGGAATTACTTATAACTATACTTGATTTTTCCTACTTAGAAAATGTTCATTATATCCATGTTAAGATCCAGTGATGGGCTGGGGCTGTAGCTCAGTGGCAGAGTGCTTGCCTAGTCCATCTGAGGCACTGGGTTCAATCCTTAGCACCACATTAAAAAAAAGGCAAATAAAGCCATGCTGTCCATTTACAACTACAAAATTTTTTAAAAAATCCAATGGTAAGGAGACTTCTAGTTAAAAATAGAGCCTATTTTTTCTAAAAATAGAAAAACACACTTTTCTCCAATTACTTCTCATTAAAATATCAGATGAACCCCAATATTATGTATATCTATAGTAAATAAGATAAATTTTTAAATGACAGTTAAGGAAAAAAAGATATAAACCTATAAAGATGGAGCAAATAAGGAAAGAGAGCCCTGCTAAAGAAGGATGTCAACAAATCTTAAGAACGTAGAAAACAGACGGATAAGTGAAAACTGACATATGAAAGTTGAGAAAGTTAATACCTAAGCTTTTGGAAAGAGGCACAGCCAACCAGAAGTTCATGGCACTGAACTCTGAAAAGGCTCTGAAACTGGGGCTGCCATACTTTTGAAAGCAGAGGGAGAATGAGACTGAAAATAATTGTTGTAAAGGTTTTGAAGAGCAGTGAGACTCCCTTCCATTTTCTCTGCTCCATTCCATGCWGCTCAAACTCAGCAGAAGAATGGTGGTTTTCTTTCTGGACAAGTTGACTCAGAGCTCCTCTAAACACCAGAGCTGAGGGATAAGAATGCCCTATTACACTGAGAAGCAGAGTT